TTATATGTATTGAGTAGGATTTAGAGTTAACTTTTCCATACACAAAGATTGTTTCTAAGTAGAATTGGACTTAGTAAGTTGACCTTTTCTTCTAACACAGCTACTTATGGATTGTACCTCTGAAGAGCCTCTGTTTGATGGACTTAAGTATGCAAGGAGAAGTGAACCACAAACAGAAGGAGAGATCTGAAAAGCCTCACATGTGCATAGAACACAGGATGCAGAACTCCAGATATTGACATTTTCTTGAGATTTGCTTTACAAATCCTGCTAGCACGTTGGTGGGTGTTTCCACACCTCCACAGGATTCAGCCTCCTGCAACTCTCTTTACCTTTCCATGCAAGTATCAGCAGTTCTAGCACTGCAGACTAAACTAATTTGCAGAAAAACACGTGAATGAAAGTTTTAAATCAATGATGTTCAACTACTGTGGTGGTTGAAGTGATGTACCTGGCATTTGAATGTTCTTCTAAGGTCTGAATACCAAAGACGTCTGATGGAGCCTGGCTAAATAAGCAGTCCGGATCACAACAAAATCTAATTTGATTTACATTTAAGTTTAATTAAACACAGCTAAAAAGATTATTCTTAGTATATTTAATATTTCCCTCTGTTGCCATACTAATAACCTGGCACCATAAAGATTTTAGTGAGGTTGTGTAGTATGCGTTTGATCCGTGGCCTCAGGTGGTTCTTTTGAGTAATAGTGAGTCTAGAATCCAAAACACAGAGCCAAAATATACATTACACTGGTGTCCGCCTGGTTTTTGTATGTGGAGAATATTTATAGCTTGATCTGACAAATCACATTAAGCCATGATGTGATTTCTTTGGATATGTGAACCCAACTAATTCTTCTCTGTGGTTTTTGGCAGGTTTGGGCAACCGAGACTGCAGCCACCAGGACCCTGAGATCCTGCCACCAAAATTCACTGGCAACATTGCTAAGTTTGGATGGCACGATATTGGGTCTTTGAGAATAGGTGGGGATTTTTAAGGATGAAGATGGGAGCAGTTTCTTTCTCAGTGTCCTTTTGTTCTGATTAGGATGGGAATCAGAACAAGAGGACTGAGGAACAAACTACCCCTCCAAGAAGCTCCCCCCCCCCTGCAAAAAACAGGCCAAAAAGTCAGTTCTGTCCCTTCCAGGATGTCATAGTGTCAGCAGAAAGGCATCTG